AGAGACCGGAAGCAACTGAGCAACAATCATCATGATCAAAGTGATACCGTACACTTTTTTCCGTCCAAGTTGTTCACCGAGCCATCCGAAGAAGAGCTGACCAGCAAGGGTTCCACAAAGGGCCACACCGTTGACTGCAGCCGCAACATGAGGGGGAAGTGAGCCAGGCTTTTCTGACGCTGGATTGAAGTAGTAGAGGCGGCCAAGAAGCTTGGTGACCAAGGAAACACAAAAGAGATCGTAGGCGTCCGTAAAGAAACCCATACCGGCGATGACAATCGCCGTGAAATGGTAAAGTTGCGTCTTTGCAACATCAAGTGCCTTTAGCACTCCTAGCTGTTGATCGGCCATCTAAAGCCTCTCTTGTCTCTCCTGCTTCATGAAGTAAAAGTAAATATCTTTCATTCAAAAAAAAAAAGTATCTTAACTAGAATTTTTTTAATAATTATTGGAGATGCTACTATATTATTTTAGTTTAATACTAACATATACAATCAATAGAATAACTTGTTAATTAAAACTATACATAAATCAAATAATTTAAGCGATTACAATTTACAAACAAAAGTTTTGATTGATATAAATAACCATCTATATGTGTGTGTGAATTTGGATAAAGAGATAATGAACATGTAACGATATCTCACCGTTGTGCTAATGGTGGCGGCAGAAAGATAGAGAGAGAGAGAGAGAGAGGTGGTGGTTGTGATTTTTGTTGGCTGAGACGGCAGAAATTTATAGACGAGATCGGAGAAGCATAGTCTCCGGAATCTTAAGAGTATATCCATATTTCTATTTTATTTTAATCTTTTTCTATCGCTTAATTAACTTCTGTTTCTACGCTCTTCTGTGTATTGTATGCTCTGCACATATTTTATCTTCCCTTTAATAATCTATAATTCGTATTCATGACAACTCTATGATATCTCCAATCTTTGACCTATTCCTATTACGTCAAGGGAATAAGTAAGTACCCGTAAATATCACGTATCAAATAGTCCGTGTAATTTATTAGTTAATAATGTTTAGTTAATTTATATTTAAGCGAGAGCAAATAACGAGAAATTACTTTTGATGATTTAGACTTCATTCGACAAATTCTGCATGTTATCTTGAGACGAAGATAACACACGGAACACAAACTTGTCGAGAAAGGACAAACACAGTTAATACAACAAAAATGTTGTGTGTTTATTACTTTATGTGTATGTAGTAAGATTACAAAGAAACTTTGATCATCTATGTCTACGAAATACTATTATATACAAATTATGGGACTAAGAGTAGTGATTATTTATGTTATATACAATCATATAAAATGATTTGCAAAATAATACGTACGAATATAGACCTCCATATGCTAAATATCTTTATTTGGAGGAATATAGTAGTACTTCATGTCGTCATGTGTAATTTTTCCGAAAATTTTATATTTTTGGTAATTTTAAATATATTATAAAGGGTAGTCTGATTTTTTCATTTTGTCGACAAGCCTCTTTGATTTTTATCCTCAGAAATAATAAAAGATCGAGTTGACTTTTCATTAAGCAAAATATATTTATTTGTTTATGATAGTCAGTATGTCAATTTTCCTTTCTATACTTACTTTTGTTGAAACCCATCTAACAAGTTATCTTCACGTATCTCCATACTAAAGTCTACTATATTTGTTTTTCGTTTTTATTTGGGTGAAAGTTACTACTCAGATTAATAAAAAAATCATTTTCGATAAAAGTCAGCCATGTTCATAAAAGATATTAAATAGGAGCACAAAACAAACTTCTTTTTGTTTTGTTTTAATTTCTATAATGTAATAAAAACAAATATGTTATATATATATATATAGCTTCGATATTTTTGAAGATATATATGTCCAAACAACTTGTAGGGTTTTTTTTTTTTTTTTTTTTTTTTTTTTTTTTTTTTTTTTAACCTTGTAGGGTAAGCTTGTGAATTAGAGCTAGATATTTCATATTTGCTTGCTAAACTATTCCAGTTAACATGGTTACCACTAAAACAAGTTGGATGCCTAGTATTCATACGTATTTTACATTTTTATTCTATGCATCAGGTATATACTCCCCCATCAATATTATTTAAGTCAAGTTTACAGTTAATATATATGCATTATTACATAGTTGCAACGATCACAATTATCATCGATCGTTATTATTCAATATGTTTTATATATAGTCGCTGGCTTCTTGCAAAAGTCAATGCGTGGCATGTTGTTTCATTTTTATCGATTAATGCAGCGGCGCATAACACATCCCTCTGGATCAAGTCAAGGCAAAAAATTTTATTTTATTTTTCCAAGTTAGAACCGATGTATAGTAGTAAATACTCATGGACGTTCGGCAAGAACCGTTTGAACCGAACCGCCCAAAACCGACAATTTTGGTTTACGGTTTCAAACCCATGCAGAGTTGTGAAGCGATTAGTGAATTTTTAAATTGATTTCGGTTCTCGGTTTTATTCGGTTCGACATATCAAAAACCATCGCTTTTTTCAGTTTAGGGAGACACTTTATATATATAAAAAAGAGATAAAATCATAGATCTAATTCTAAACATCACTTCATCTTCCTTCTTTTGTAGTATCTTCTCTTCATGGAAAAACAAACCTCTTCTCTAGCACTTCTTTTCTTCGACCTTCTTCTCTAGACCCTTCTCGGCTTTTCCTTCTCCTTCTCTTCGTTCTTTTCTTTATCTTCTTTTTTTCCACCTCTTATTTTGTAGGTTTTTCTGTTAATTAAGCCGCCGCCATATCGATTCTCTCCGGCATCAACTTCAGCGGCATCAATTTTCAGTTGATCTTCTATCATTTCTTTTCGTCGTCGCATCACACAAATTCCTCTTCTCTATTTTTGCCGTTGTTCTTCTTCACTCCATAGCTTGCTAACGCATTCAATCACAAAGTCAAAAAGACAAAAATCCTAGGACCATATCTAATGTATCTCCTATTTTCTACTCTAGAATAAAATAACACTAAAATAAAGTAAACTTTTCTCTAATTTATCATTCTATTTTTTTACTCTAAAAACAATGAAGTAAAAAATAGAATTATCACAAAATAATTCTATTTCTTATTCTATTTTAGAGTGGGATTAAAAAGTATTTTTACTTTATAAAAGAGTTTAGATGAGAAAATAGAGCGAGGTTGGAAATGTCCTAAATATTTTTTGATTAGGTATATATATGTGGGTGTAGACTTTACTAAGAGAAATTAAACGGTTGGGATTTTAAAATTGAACCATCTATGCCTTTAAAAACTAAAAATATGTTTGTTTTTAAGAACTTAGCTCTCTCTATGTATAAGAATCAAACCAAACCGATTAAAAACACATTCGGTTTAAATCGGTGGATTTTATAACTTCAAACCCAATTCATTCACCTCCTCTTTAATAACCAATCAAAATTTGCCATGTCATTTAATTAAAAAAATTAAAATAATAAAATTAATTCACTAAAAACCTAAACTGAATTAATTCTTAATTGTATGACCCACTAATATTTCATTCACGTCTCTCTCTAAATCCAAAAGAAAAAATAAAACTTAACCCTAAATCTGAATTTTTAAGTCATTAACCCTATTTTTTTATTCATAGTTTTTCTCTTTTCTTCTTCTCACTTATAATCAAAAGACATTAGTTTTACCAGAGAAGATTATTGGTTTATGTAATTCTATTGAATATCATAGAAGTGAGAAATTATTTTTCTTTTCTAAAAATGTTAGTACGTGACATTTTTTTTTGTTTGGTTAATTTTTTTTTTCTGTTTTTCACTAAAGAAGAAGAAAGACAATGTTTGAAAAACAAATAAAATAAATGAAACTTTAGAGAGAGAGACGTGAAAGAGGGGGTGAATGCCCATGCATTTAATTTAGTTTTAGGTTTTTAATAATTTAATTTAATTATTTTATTTAATTGTTTTAATTTTTTTAATTAGATGACAAAGCAAATTCTGATTGGTAATTAAAGAGGGGTGAATGAAATGGGTTCACCCCTAGGGGTGAACCCAAGAATTGTTCCCAAAGAACTAGTTTATAGGTTATCATCCGATTTGAGATAATCAAGTGAGATTACACTATTTGAGATTACATGCTATTGGTTTTGTGTTCTAAGTAGAAAATATTTAACATTATACTAAGAGCGCAATGCTCGAACAATAAATGATTGCTATCATAGTTTATACGTAGTGCCAACACTGGTTTCTCCCAAATTGAGATATTTTCAAGATGTTCTGAAACCACTCGGCTTTCTCATTTGCTTTGACTAAAGCTATAATGTCTATTTGGAAGACTTCTACGACACTATTGCAGCATCAAATCCAGTCTAGTACAATTAGATTGTTAAATTTAGTTCTATATGGCCTAATTCCACTTGAAAAAAATCTACCAATGAATACTAATCTACAAACGTTGGATATATTGTTGGGTTTAAAAAAGGTGAAAATAATATAGAGATTTATATATATAAAGATAGCTATTATTTCATGTGTATTCATGGGCCGTGTTAAGCGGCTAGAATTTCACAGTTATGAACATAACATGAGTTTACTTCTTAACAGGTTGCACACACATTAAAACAAAAAGCAAAAGTAGAAGTAGTACACCATTGCAAATATAATTCACTCATCGCAAAAAAAAAACGTAAAAGGTAAGAATGCACAAAACCAATGACAAATATATCACGGCATAATCATTTATCAACCTCAGCCTC